TTCTTTGCGTTGGTTGTTGGATATAAATCTTTTCTGTGATTATATTATCCGCTTCAAAGGTCGGGTGGTTAAAATCCGATCCCTTCATGGGTTTACAGAATCGATAGAGCACTCTTCGTGACGGGAAAAATACCGGGAAATTCCTCTGAAATGTTGAGTGAAGCATTATTTTTATCCCATTTTTCCTTGTGTTTCAACTTTTACCCAAGTCTCTTACAGCGTTTCTCAATCATCTTTTTCTGCACTTTTATTATTTAATATTGATTAGGTATTTGAATTTTTTACTCTTGCACGTTCGTAAGCTATCAACAATTCAGTCGTGTTTAAGTAAATTCAAGAGTGAGGTGTTATTGATTGATGACCTTTGATTGTCTGCCACATATGTTTGATCGTTTGATCCAGAGAGGCACGGACTGGCGGACCTTATCAACAAATTATATATAGCTGTTGACTTTCACTACAGCACTTAGGACCAGAGATCAAGTTTCGAAGGAATAACAGAGCTAAAGTGTGCACTACAAAACAGAAAATACTCAGTTAATGCTCTTAGCAGTTATTTAGTGTTTATTATGCATCAAAAGATGACTTATATATGGAAACATTTAATACTCATAGGACCCAACACACACACGGCAATTGAAATACGGAATGCCCGCTTCCAGTCAGCGCGTTCAAGGTCGTTGAAACGAAACGGCGGACAGATTTTTGTACTTGTTGTGATTATACTTGCTTTTGGTACTTATTGCACTAAAAAGCATTCTTGGTCTACTTTAACTAAGAGTTCTTTGGTCAAAGTTTGAAATTTTTGCTACATTTTGTCCTGGGTACCTGTTTTTAGTCCTTGACTAACACTTGTATTCACATTGTTATCATTTTTTTTAAACCTTTTAAATCGAATTATAATGGTTGGTAAGACTCACAAATGTGGGCAACCAAACTGTTTGTTCCCTGTGGAAGAGGGGATGCAGTGTGACGAATGCCATAAGTGGTTCCACAAAATGTGCACCCGCTTAAGTCCCACCGCATACAAAAGATGCTCGAAGCCTAACTCACATTGGCTTTGCATGTTTTGCTCTGCCAACAAGGCATTACTAATACAGGAGGCTATGAGCCTGTTGGCTTTGCCCGGTAAAAAGAAGGATGGCATATGCGCCGACAACACGGGCACTGACAGCGACGAATGTGTCAGTGTAGTATCTGCTGTTACGCGACGTCTCCAACAACCGACTCTGACTGACGTAAAAGTGGAGTCTTCGTTGACATTAACAGGGGGAGTAGTACCACCTGGTACTGACATTGTTCATAATGCACCTTTAATGGGAACCGAAGATCTGGATTATACAGTCACCGTTCCAAATAGTCCCAGTGTTATGAGGGATGAAAAATGGAATACGGTACGTAGGAAACGAACCGAAAAGAAAAAAGCTGTAAGCAGTACACAGGTAGTTAATAACTCCCTGGTGAACCGAAATTGTGAGCCGCAAATTGCACTACCTAAATCTGAAGGTAAGAGTGAAACCCATCCTGGCGTGACTGAGAAGAAAAATCTAATAACATCGAATATTATTGTGAGCAAATTGCGGGAGTCAAACGACCCTGATCCGAAAATTAGACACGCGCATGACTTAGAAAAGCTAGGAGAATACATTCGTAGTATTTTACCAGATAACTCCAAAAGAGTTCAGGTCAAAAAATTGGTAAGAATAGGCAAGAGGACCGAGGACAATGTTGAACCCCGTCCATGCAGACTCCTTAAGGTAATCCTAGGATCGGAGAAGCAACGGGATCTCTTGTTAAGTAGCGCTCGTTGTCACGACAATTCTGACATCCGAGTTAGACCTGACTTGTCTCTCGAAGATAGAATAAAAAGGAAGAAAGCACTAGCTGAACTTGAAACCCGTCGGCAAAACGGCGAGGAAAATCTCCGGTCAGTGGGTTTTCGGATAGTCAGGTCTTGGAAGCGAATGCTACCAAGGCCTGTGTGGATAGGCTGTTCTACTTAGGAGTTTTATATGCCAACGCTCGCAGTTTACGAAATAAGTTCTATGAACTAGAAGCACTAGTAGACAGGTTAAAGCCACTCATAGTAGCAGTGACAGAAACTTGGTTGGTCCATGACTTAGACATTACTCCAGAATTATCCGGATACCATTGCATCAGGAGTGATAGACATAGATGTAGAAAAGGAGGGGGCGTCCTGTTATATATAGCCAATGGCATAAATATCCGCTCCTTTACTAGCGAATCCCATGATAGCGGCACTTGTGAAGTCATTAGCTGTAAGTTGGCAATAGGATGTAGTACATTTATGCTAGGTGTCATCTATCGGAGCCCAATCTGCTTAGCTGATGACTTTGTTTTAGAGCACATTCATCTTTGGAGTGATAATACCAGGTGCTTGATAATAGGAGACTTTAACGCACCTGATATTAGTTGGACTGATATGACCACAGAAGGATCTATAAACTCCTTTGATAGTAGGTTACTGATAACAATAATGGAGCATGCACTAGTGCAGCATGTATCCCAACCCACACGTTTTGGTGTTAACCAGGGTTCTTCTCTGCTGGATTTGGTAATCACTCATGAGACTGAGGATATTGTCGACTTAAATATTCTTCCACCGTTAGTAAACAGCGATCACGCTGTTTTGTCATTCGCGTTTAGAACTAGGGACATGTTATACGATCAGGTTACACCGCGCCCAAATGTATGGAAAGCTAACATATCAGCCATTCAGGGATGTGCTGCTAAGACAGATTGGTTAGTAGATACTAGCATATCAGTTGAAGAAGCATGGTCTGTATTTAAAGGTAAATTTAGACTAGTTACGTCCCCGTTCATACCATACCTGGTACCGCGAAGACCGAATAACAGTCCACCATGGATAACTAAAACGGTCAGGAAACTCCTTAGAAAAAGGAAGAATCACTGGAATATGTTCATCTCTACTGGCTTAGAACAATACAGATCCAGTTATTGTAAGATTAGGAATGCCTGTAAAGCGTTAATAAGCAAGACTAGACATTCATACGAAAAACAATTGGTTAGGGATTCTAGATATAGTCCGAAACGGTTATTCTCGTATATAAAAAGGAGAACTAAGAGAAGCGATGGAATTCCATCACTTTTGATACGAGACAATCCGTTAATCTTAGCAGAGAATGATGCCGAAAAAGCTGAAGCTTTATCGGAATATTTTAGTAAAGTGTTTTCTATCGGTAATGAGGAACGACCAATGATTCATTGTGACCGTGACGGCTAGCTGATGGATCCTGTAGTCATTGAGAAAGATACTGTTTTAAAGCTACTTCAGCATATCAAACCTGATAAGTCCAGTGGTCCCGATGATATTCATCCTAGGATTATGAAAGCCATATCAGGTGAAATCGCTGAACCATTAGCGATACTATTCGACATGTCTCTAAGACAGTCCAGACTTCCTAGAGACTGGAAAGACGCCATAATAAGTCCGGTGTATAAGGCTGGGAGTAGGGATTTAGTTAGTAACTATAGACCCGTTAGCTTAACTAGTGCAGTTGTGAAACTGATGGAGAAAATCATTCGGATAGCTGATATAAACTATGTTGAAGGGCAAAATCTTTTCTCCAGGGCACAACATGGTTTTCGGAAAGGCCTATCTTGCTTGACAAATCTTCTCATTGCACGAGAAGAGTGGGCTGCGGCAAAGGATCGGAATGATCCTGTGGATGTAATTTTCATAGATCTAAGTAAAGCCTTTGATAAGGTTTCACACTCTGGTCTTAAATTCAAACTGAAACGTTTTGGAATCCATAACACAGTCGTCGATTGGATAAGTAACTTTCTCCATGACAGGAGACAAAGGGTAAGGGTTAATGGGGCTCTCTCCTCGTGGGTACCTGTAAAAAGTGGGGTTCCCCAAGGCACAATCCTAGGTCCTCTTCTCTTTTTACTTTACGTAAATGAATTGCCAACTGTAGCAAAATCATCCGTTCTACTCTTCGCTGATGACATAAAGATTTGGAGACCCATACATAGTATGTCGGATAGAATAGTATTACAGGACGATCTAAGCTCATTGGTGGCATGGTTAGACAGGTGGTCACTAGAAGTAAATCCTAATAAGAGTGTAGTGATGCAGTTAAATAACTCTGATGAATCGTATGACTATACACTACGTGGATTCGTGCTACACAAAGCAAGAAACTATAAAGACTTAGGAGTTATATTAAGCAATGATCTCAAAACGACTAGTCACTGTAAGGCTGCTGCTGCAAAAGGCTATAGGTTATTATGGTCAATTCGTAGGTCTTTTCAGTATTTAGATGATGAAATTTTTGGATTACTATACCCGATTTATGTGCGACCACATTTAGAATACGGGATTCAAGCAGCGAGTCCTTGTTTCAAATATGAAGCAGATATGCTAGAAAGAGTCCAACGACGAGCTACTAAGATGGTACAAGGTCTAGCTGGCCTATCTTATGAAGACAGACTGAGACACCTTAACTTATTTCCGTTATCTTACCGTAGAGTACGGGGTGATCTAATATTGGCTTATCGTATACTGAACGATGACCTTGGTATTAACATGTCTTATCTTTTGCTTCCGTCTAGAACCGATCATTTGAGAGGACATTCGAAGAAAGTTCAAAAACCGAGATCAAACCGTTTACGTCTGGAGTTCTGTTTCTCGCACCGGGTAGTGAATTACTGGAATTCCCTACCGGAACACGTAATATCAGCACCGTCTGTTAATATATTCAAAACGAGATTGGACCTCCACAGTATTACAAACTGCAAGGATTAATATAGGTCGACAGACCTCCTATCCTTATTACTGAAGACTGAAGATTTGAAAGGGATTACAGTTTTTACCTTGCCTTGAAACGACTTACACGAACAAGTGGCATCAACACTATCAGTGAATATTTTCAAGGAGAAGCTGGACTCTCACTCGAAGGCAATCTGTTAAGGTTAACACAGGTTCATCAACCTACTATCCTTATAACTGAATACTGAAGACAGATTCTACGCGGAGGCTTTTGTGAATTCAAGGTCATGGCAGAGATATTTGGGTCTTGAGTATATTGAAATATCACACTCCGAATGTAAGAATCATGTCAGTTGTGACTCATGATCAGTCGAATTGAAAAACCTCCCCATGTTATAACCGACGAAACAGGATATCCGTCGTAGAAGAGAGCTTATATCTGTCCAACACGGTGCGAATTTGCGCCACACTGCTTAGCTACTATTGTGAAAAAAATCTTTGTGTCATCAATATAAGAATAAGGCGGTCCTTTCGTGATAAGGAACTCTAGAATCATAAAATTGTGTTTGTTTAAAATCACCCAATCTCTCAAGTTTGGGGAAATTTTGGGTAAACCTACAAATTCAAGAGACCTTCACCATGGTTAAAGGGAAATTTTGGGGAATTTCCGCAGATATGGGGAAATTTCTGGGTTTTGGTGCCATTTCTGCAAAAGTTTCTATAGAGGCTCCCTCCAAACGGGTAAAACTTTTCCCCCAAAATTGGGAGATCGGGGCAGCATTTAGTAAATTTAAATCTCCTCAAATACTGAGCTCCTTTCGAATAACTTACAAAATTTCTTTACCCATTTGGTCAGTCATTAAACAACAAACACTGACAGATTGCATATGATGCTGAGACTAGGATTTAGGTTATAGAATCAGTACTTAGCATTATGATATAAGAGTACGACTCACCTTGGACATCTAGAGTTCGTGATTTAAGGTTAGATTTAGATTTAAAATTAATATATCGGGTTTATGACTTAGAGAGCACTTAATTCAACCTCCAGTTCGAGTCCTAATCATATACTCTCATCCTAAAGCCTAGTTCTAACTATAAATCCTTAGTTCTAAATCCTTATACTAGGTTCTAATCTTAAATCATAACAATGAATCTTACTTTGAACTTTAAGCTGTACATCAGTCGAAAACGGCAACATTAGCTCTGAAAACTAATCCTAAGATAGCTAGTGGTGGTTTCAGTACTGATATAGTTTAAGATGCCTTCCTGGATTGAAATATTTATAATACGGTCAATCGGCAGCAATTCCTTGAGTAAATCTCCCACTTACTCCACCGGTAGACGACAGGTTGTTTTGATGTGTACTTTGGGACGATGAACACATTCATATTTAGCTCGCATTTATAGCCCAGCTTCATCAATATTTGAAGAAACGTTGTTTTGAAGCTCACTTTTAAAGGGAAACTCAACATCTCTTTGAACAGTTTGTCTAACTGCCTCATACCTTTATTGTACATTTTGTCCCATTCTCCTCACTTTTGACTAGTGGAGAAGCCGAGAAAAAGTACTAGATTTCACACTCCACTTCACATAGTTCTGTTCGAGCAACCGGATATTACCACAACACCCAGTGTGCTATGTGCTGCCAAAGAATTCGATTCTTTTATACACCCTATAACACATTGTTTAATCCTCATCCTTGTCCACAATTAGACCCATCCTACTTTCGAGTATAGTTAGTTTTTCAGAGGAAAATGGCGAAAATCCCATACCTTCAAATACTAGTTATGTGGGCTGAATGTAGTTACCAATTTATGTGTAATTTCGGAGCGAATTCGCTAGATGTAACTCCTCACCATTAGTTTCGTCATTCCACAACTTGGGCACAGGTTGTCTAATCAGTTCTCACACATTTCATGTGTTGATTTGTTACCATTCTCTAGGTTATTTAGACATACTCTTACAAGAGTATGAGTGATGATGTAGTTAAAAATACCTATATCGGTAGACTTCTGGAGTCAGTGATATTTATGTACTGAAACTCCTTTTTTTGTCTTGATGTCCTACCTATCTTTCACCGTGTCTAATATCTGCTCTCTTTCATTCCTTTACTGTCTTCCACCTCCGTGTTGATTGCTCACTGCTGACATTCATTCTCCGTTTTTTAGTTTGCCATGCAAAATTCCTGCTCATGTTTATTTTAGTGTCAATTACAAATCATTTAAATATCGTAATCGAACTAGTGATCGTGGTAAATTCTGTATTTCTTTGAAACCAACCGCGTCAGTACGGTGCAAAATAAATACTTACAGTGTCTACTATTATCATTTTCGATTTCTCGGCTCGAAGTTCTTAAAATAACTTTCACTAATTGGAATATCTGTTGCTAACTGAGCTCACTACATACTATTTACCTGGTCACAGTCTTGAGACTGATCATATAGAATAAATGAACATCTAGTCTTTACTTATCTGGATATTTGAATGTTTCTAGGGCACAGATCTGACCTAAAGATGATTAAGAAAACAATTCTTAGTACTACTTTGCTAATACCTAAATACTAGGAAAAGTAAGTTTGGGACGTGTAGTCCCACCTTACCTTCTGCTGACCGCTTCTCCGATTGTTTACCCTCTGCCAACTTTCATTTTTTATCGACTCGACAACAACACTAAATGACCTTTTTAAAGCGCATATGTAAGGCTTACAAAACCATTTACATGGTAATATTAGGTAAATAAATGGTACACAATTTTGTTGGTTCATACATAGGTCCCACTGTTCGAGTAAATATTCTTATCTTAATACAGTGTTTCGAACTAATCCTAAGTTTCAGTGCCCACAAATATGTCATCTTATCATATGAACCACACATTAACATAAGTTAAATCTCAGTGAAGTTCTTATACTACCAAAAAGTATAGTTGACCGTGTTAAAAAGCTGCCATTCATATGGTGGTAGTATTTTATTGTGGTTTCGGGAAACGCCTTGCTCATAAAAACTAGATTTTAGTCTGGAGACTTCGTGTATGAGAAATCTCTTAAACCATATGTCGCTCTGTTTTGATAAACAAACAATTAAACCGTCTCCCGCATTGTAGAATTGCCATGTGGCACAAAACCTAGGTCCAGGGTTTCCAGTTGACTACCTCCAACTATCATGCTGTTTGCAAAATGTCGGTGCGAAAGTAAAAAGGATTCGTTTTGAAAAGTAAGAATAAATAGGTTGCGTGTCTTTATTCCATCTTGGGCACATATTGGACAAACCGTTTTTAAAAAAATCACGACCATCTTTTCACTGAAGAATTGTGCAACATATTTTCTGTCCCGTTTTGTAATTTGCTATTCGCCAAATTTGTGACATACGACATTTTAATTGAAATATAAATGGAGCAAGCTTTTCAGTGAAACGGTTTTTTGGAGTATCTCACTTTTACAAGTACTTTTGGAATGATCAGCACATTGTGGTTGGCGAATCAGCAAATTACCCGTAGGTAGCTTCTGAGCTATTTTTCTTATGTATCAATACTTGTAAATAACAGGTACTTTGTGTATGCACAACAATCTATGTGTTAGTTAGCAATAAGTCGAACTGTTTACAATTGATTGATCACTGGGTGGTAATCAACGTCATGTATGTCAGGTCCCTCTTAGTGCATATCGAATCCTATCGACCAGTTTAGGTGAATCGACATTGCGTGCACTATGTTGAGATAGGATGGTAGTTGGAGGTAGTCAACTGGAAACCCTGGACCTACATTTTGTGCCACATGGCACTTGTCAGCAAGATATACCCTGAGGGAACTGATGCTCCCTGATGGATTCGATCCCGTGTCACCTAGATTCACAGTCAGAAACGTTACCACTGAGTTGTCTAAGTCGCGACTAACTTCAGTCTGACTTATTTGAGAAAAATACCATTTTCTACCTTTTAACCCTCACAAAGTCATGCTATTGTTTCTCACTAAGCCAGGCTGTCGGTGATTGTGTGATATAGTAGTTTTTATTTTACTGACATCGTATAGCTGAGTTTTTACACGCAGATGAACTTCACAATAGCAACAGAAGGGATCTAGGAAAGTTTAACTCCCTCTGGATTTCTTTAATTAGAGATTGATCGTAAATAAGCACCCCACCACCAGCAATCACAAGCTACCCAGGTGCACACAAAGTTTTAGGATAGCTTGTACAACAAATGATAGTCATTAATGAGAAAATGAAGATCATTATTTTTTGAAAGTAATGGTGGCTAGTTGACACACCATACTTTGAGTTAACCAAAAGCTTCAGGAGTTCGAAAAATATCAATAAATTAGCCAGATGTATAGTCTTTGGCAGAGAAATTTTCACTTGGTTAGGTTACAAAGTTGAATATACTGAAGTGGCTGGACTACAGGCTACACGTTGTGATTCGCAACTTACTGATTCTCACAATGTTGGCTAAATTAGTAGTTTGAAAAAAAGATTAAAGAAGGACGTGACAGTATTCTTCAAAATAACTGAGGTTGGGTCTTAATCTCTTAATAAAATTGAAGCTTCTTGGTAGTGTTGCAGAAAAATTAAAAACTACTGGTTAAGAACTGTGCAAAACATTCTTTGAAATCGGTAAAAATGATGCTAATACACTTATTCTTTTTCTAGGCTTATGTTTAATGTTCTTGTGGATTCTACAATTTTTTACGCAAGTTAATTCCATTTGCAAAGTTAAGTATTTCAACCCATATGTTTTAGTCAGAGAAGTTAACCATCAATTTTCATGTTCCTTGTTTTTTAGGAATCATCAAAGTGGCCAACTCACATTAATAGCATATAAAGATGCTATTCAAACCTTAAAAAACAATTTAATCTGTGATAGTGACAGTGGTGATGAATGGTTTATTGATGAGTTTGTTGGATATCCGGACGAATTGGAAATGGTCTACAGAAAGCCAATACTACTTGGCAAATCAAATACCAACTGTTTATTAACAAGTGAATCTTTATTGTCGGGTGAAATTTTAGCAGAGTATCGTATAGTTTTCAGCCATAGTTATCAAGTGCCTGTTCTTTTAATGCGTTTCCAGACAAAAAGTGGCCGTTCATTACATCATGACAAACTGTGGAGTGAAAATTTTCGTTCATCTGTGTTTCCTCTTTCTGAAGTACCACTATCCCTACATGCCCTTAGTGAAATCGAACATCCACGCCTCGGAATTCCGTTTTATGAGTTCCATCCTTGTAAAACTGCTGATCTCATGAAGGAAGTATTTTATTCGCAGCCTACTCAACTTAATGATCCGGTGAAATACATGATTATGTGGTTAAGTTTAATCGCTTCTCCATTTGGACTTCATCTTCCACAAAAATCGTTACTAACGTAAAACTTTGAGAGGATCTCTAACAGTTGTGGAAATTTATGTATAATTAATAAGCTTCTTTTTGCATTCATATTTTGTAAATTAATCTGTTTTCAGTTATTCAATTAAAATATTGCCTTCATACTGCTTTTGTCATTAGTTATTTGGCGATTGAATTGGTCTATAGTGCAAATTTTTCATTTCATTTTATCTGTTAGCAAAACAATAACAATAATTCCTTTCACTTTTATTGTTGACCTTAATTTGGATTTAGGTTTTTAAACATAAATCGATGAAGCATATGGACTTTAAACATTCATTTTAACAGAATATTAGCAGAGTAGTACAACGACTGGTGATCGACAGTGATATTCTGAGTTACATGTACTCTTCACACTGAGTAGCTTTTAACTTTATACGGTGAGGACTGGTTCCGATCGTTGCAATTTTCAACAATGCAGTAAGAACGAACTGGCTGTTCTTACAAAGACTGAAGAATACATAATTTCTTTTTAAAACGACAAAATCTCAATCAAATCTAGGCTCACTAGTCGTATCAGCAGTCGATTAACGTACGAATCAAATGACTTCCCTACAGAAAAGCTATGACAGAACAGACGGCTTATAAAATTTCAGAACTTCAGTCTTCTACTCATTAAAACTATGTCATTGTTTCCTTGTTGCGTAATTTATTCTGTCGTTAGGTTGACTTCCAGTTTTCGACTAAATGTTAGACGGGAATGTTTATTAGTCTATCACTACGGAATACTAAATGGTTCGATTAACTGTTTTAGAAAACCGGGATTATTATGACTTAAGAGCTTTATCAAAACGAAGCTGGATTACCTTCACATTTTCTATTTCACTAGATTTTTGAATAGAAAATTTTTAGCTTTGCCTCATTTTACCTGTTTTTTTTTAAAGTTTCGCGATACTACTCGTTTTATATTTTTGATATCTTGATTCCGTCTAATTGTCTAAAAAACTTTTGTTTCATTCCATTAACAGCAGATTTTTAGGGAATACGTGCTGTTATCCTCATCGTATTGATTTTCAGGTTCTGGAAATTCATATTATATTATTATGTTATACAGAGTAAGTTCCAGTTTGACTCGTTGATGTTACTCATCTATGCGGAATACTGTGAACTAAGAATAAGGAAATTGGTGAAGTTCAGCACTGTGTTATGTTACATATTTCAATTATTCAGCTGTCAGGTGCGTGAAAAAGCAATCATACCATCTTCGATTTATCAACGGAAATCAGATTTGTTTCGTACAACTAAACTAATTGAATAGTATACTTTGGACAACCTACGTATGCTCAGTCTATAATTCATCTTTTGATTGCTTTGAAAAAAAATACACCATGATCACTTTTGTCGAAATAGTGAATAGAATTTAGTTGCATATCACTTACTCTACGAAAATTCAACATTCGGTCTAGAGTTTTATATCATTTAACTAGGTGATTCATAAATCAATATTTGGATTATTTCTATTTTGGTGAAGACAATACCGATTTTAAACTTTTCATGATTGCTAGTCCGGCTGTGTGCATGTTTTTGACTGTAAAAATATTAGTGCCCCTTGATATTCAAGTTTGTAGGTTTAAAGGCCTTTATTTGGATTTCTTGCAATAGTTAAAAAGCATAAGTAAGTCTTAGTAACAATTTTATTTGCACATGCTATGGAAAAAGCTATGAAATAAATGTCATAAACAACAGAAATTATCTGTGAACATAAATAAATAAGTAAATAAATAAAGGATAACATCTCAGTGGAAGCATCTTCTATGGTGTTGAGTGATATGTCAAGGTAATTATTTTTTCCTCTTCTTTCTCCCTTTCCGCTTACCCTTACCTCGTTTTGGCTTTAACCTTGACCAACGAAAACCACGATACATCAATGCACATGGTGCATTGTGCGCGATGTAGTACAAGTTTTCCATGGCACATAGACTCATAATATCAACTTCATGTTTAGGCTTTTTCTGCCGAGATGACCGACCTTTGCGTTTAGCCTTCCCAGATTTTCTCTTGGTTCCTTTCTTCAGTTTTTGTTTTCCTTTCGTTTTTGGCTGAAATCCAATTTTAACCAGGTTTATCGTTAGGTAACGTTTGACTTTTTAAATGCATGATTAAGCTTTATACACTTCCCTAACTCTAATTCAACTAAATAAACATGATTTTCCTCTACTTTCTATAAATGACGTTTATTCTTAAATATTAGACAAGTCAACTTAAAAATTCTAGTTCTATCCCATTTCAAAAGTCTAGATGATTCTTAGTGTCTTCAGTTCCCGAACAATAGACTATCTTATACACTCACTTATATGCAGTCATTGTGTTCTATTATTTAACTATTTAGTTTAAATAGACTCGAGAAATCCAACTGACTTTTATAGTGTGTTGTTGTCAATTACTTGAACTGAATAGCGTTTCAGTCTACATACACTAATCACGCAGTTACAGTCATCTTTCTCTATTTTTTAATCACAATTGTACATGGCTCTGATCACATGTTTAAAAGAAGCTGGTAATCGAAGACTTATCATGAAATATGTGAACAGTAACTATGTCAGTCTAATTAGATTTACAGATGTGATGTAGTATTCTGTAAACATTTTTGAAATTGAACGGAAAAGGTAATTGAATTTAGTTTTTTCCTCATCCACTAGTTCTGAAGGCAACCCTTTACTGAGCATTATGATGACACATAAATCGTATCGTTTAAAACATTTTCTAATCGAAAATAAATTAACATTATGAAGCCTCAATCCTTATCATTAATTTTAATGAGACAATACTCTATTTATTGTAAAAGGTCATGAAACATAGTATAGTAATTGACTGGTCTAATTATTTCTGTCCAGCAATTGTTGATGAAAATTCGCACAAATACATTTGTTTGAAGAAGATATTTCAAATTTGATTGTTGTCAACCGATGGACACTATCATGTGCATTTGGCTTACTACGAATTAAAATTATTACGAGTAGTCTAGTATATCCAGTTAATAATAAATCCTATCATAACCTTTTAATTTCAATCTCCAGGATTTCACCTGAGCACCTGTACTTCACTCATTTAACAAGCTTAAAGTTTTTTCATGAAAAATTAAGGATATTGGTGTTTCTGAAAACTGCTTGATATTGTACTATCACTTTAGAACAAAGTATTTTGTCTTAAATTTTACTCTAATCACTACTACGAATGTCTTTAAACTCGTGGTGTAAATAATTTCGAGTAATATATTCACTAGGCAATGTTGATCAAGTAAGGGGGTAATCTAGTAGGATGATGCTACTCAACCAGTTATTACACAAGTATTGCATCAGTCAATTTTGATCACCGTGGTTTTTTATTGGTTGTTTTTGTTCGTCTTTGGATTTATGTTCACTTTCTCGCTCCTCTGATGAGGCTTCTGATTGGCCTTCTCACTGGTTGACAGACATAGTCCATCTCTATTTTCTGTTGAGTTTTGATTAATATGAATCCTACGTTTCTAGAATGCCTTTTATTTAGAGTTTCAAAATTTTCCTAGTCAGGTTTATACCCGTGGTCAACAACGTGATTTGAAGTCGGTGACATCATATTATATTGTTTCACTGACGACTAGCATTCTGCATGTGTAGGTGAAGAGGATCTACACTTCATCTAGCGTAGTGTTTATCACATTCGGTACAATTTAATTTGTATTTTTTATTTTGGTTGACAAATTGAAGTGAAACAGTTGCTCTCCTTTGTGGCTAGCGCTGATTTGAAACAGTTCTAAAATCCTTGTGAAGCCTTCCGAGATGTTGTAAGAATACGGTAAAGCTATCAGTTTCTGAGGTTGACTTTGTGATGCCGGTTCAATTTGTTATATAATTTTAATGAAGTTACTGAGGTGTTTATTTTTATGGAACATTAGTTTCTACGACTTTTCGTTTCCTAATAGTGGTGCAGTGCTCATAGGTTATTTTGAATAGTGTAATGTTGGTTTGTGATTGTTATAATTCAGCACTTAATCAGTACGATTCGACTTCCTAAACTTTTATGTTTATTCTGTTTTGTAAGAGATCCGAGACTAGGATTTTGTTTAGTGATTCTTGCCTTGTAACTTTGATGTCATTCGCGATGTTTTCAATCATTTTATGACTTTTCAAATTGGTCTCTGTTTAAGATAATAAGCGCTTCTTCTACTTGGCAGGAAAACTATCCACAGAATACCATCTGTATTTTACTGACCTGTGTCAACTAATATTGTGATAAATTAATTTATTAGATTTGACTGCGTTTCAGTTTACCTCTAAAATTTCAATAAACTGAGAGGCTATTTTTCGTATCTTGTACATCCATTTATTCTAAGTATATTTATTAATAGACAACTAGCCTTCTTTTATATTTGTGATGAACTTAACTTTATTTTCGCATGGTAGTTTGATCTTTACTTCAGAAAATAAGACTTCTTGTCAAGAGTCATAATGTTAAAACACATTGAGAAAATCCAAAAGGAAATTTCTTCACCTCCTATTTGGTTAATTTTTCAAAATTAGATGTGTACAAAATCATCCATAGCGCTTTTGACGGAAAATTTTTTTATGGTGGTTGGATTTTTAAGCACATTACGAAATACTTATTTTCACTACTTTTTAAGGACTCAAAGTAGTTATTTAAGTGTTATGAGTACTGCTTACAAATACATTAGTAATATATATGGGCATCTCTTGCTTCTTTCAAACCATTACTAGGGCTAGTATTAACCTGATATATAAATGGAGTGGATTGGCTTCTGTATATCAGTTCGATTCCAAACATTTTATCTAGAAGCAATATGTATGTATATGCTTGTACATAATGTGATATAACTCTGTTATTCTAGTAGTTTTTCAAACAAGTTTATCGTCATGATGTTTTTGTCCTACACACCTAAAGATTTTACAAGTATTCGGATTTTGACAGCACCTTAACCAGTAACAACTTTTCTAATCAAAACTTGTCAATTCAGTCAAATGAAAAGTCGTAAGTGAAGAGGTTCGAAGATATATATGATAGACTATCGATATATAAATAAGTGATCAATCTAAGCTGGCTAGCGGTTGTATGAGATGTGAAGCACGACTTACCCACTCGTGATCTGGTATGGATGCGCGACCGAGTG